GACTGGAACTTCTTCTTCAGACCAGATTTAAGTTGATGTTGAGAAACTGCAGCAAGATGTCCTAAATTAACACAATATAGAAAATCATATATGAAGGAAAATCATCTTTTGAATTTGATCACATCACTTCTGAAAATGTTTTTCATAAAACGGTTAACATCTCATCAAATTTTCAGCAAATGTGTAATTTATCTATCATTTCAAATCTCTTTAGAAATCCTCTTACTGGTCTGCAGACGGTCAGCCAGCTTTTCCTCCTTCATCTTCCTCAGGAAGTTCAGTGTGATCTTCATCACTGCCTCTCTGCTGCTCCTCCTCTGCTCTTCATCATCACCTTCCAACACCTCATCATCTCTCTGACTCTCTGAATGTTCTGGGTAATCTGGACTCAGAATCTTCTGGATCCTCTTCAGTTCTTTCTTCACAAAAGTGACAATGTTGTCCTCCAGCAGCTGGAACAGAATAATAGATGAAGGAAACATCAGAGTGAAATCATGGATCTAAACACCAGATGGATGTTGGACAGACTGACAGTCCTCTGGTCTACAAAGTGCAGCATGAAGGTGACTTTGAACAGAACTCATGGAAAATTACTTGTTGTTCATATACAGACCATAAATATGGAGTCCAGCTGTTTTTGATGCTGCTGGACAGATGGACCCCTGGGAACCTCTGAGCTCTGCTGGTCCACTCTGTGGAGGAACCAGGAACAATTAGGAAGTCAGGAAATATTCATCCAGCAGTATTCACAGAGGAAATCACCAGGAGCTTCACATTAAAAGTCCTTAATATAGAAAAACAGAGCATCACATAAACACAATTCAAAGTTAGAAAGAGGAAGATGATCTACACTGATGAATACCAATAATACCAGAATAATCCAGTAGCCATTTTAAAAAGTTGATTTTGAAGTTGGACTTCAAACAGTCCAAACTGTCAGCAGATCTGATGCTGGTGGAGACAGTTTCCCAGAGCTTGGGGACAGTGGAAGTGAAGGCTCTGTCCACACAGGTCTTCAGGACAGTGTGGGACATCCATCAGGTTCTGATGACTAGATCTGAGGTGATGTGGACATGGAGGAGGACTGAAATATGTGGGTGTGTCCATGTGGGATCCTCTCCTGGATGTTATAGAGGAATTTAAAATGGATCCTGTAGATCCCTGGACGCCAGTGAGCTCACATTGTATCTGTCCACATAGAGACAATCAGAAGGTAAAGGTCCATGAAGTGATGTCTGGATGTGAGCAGTGAACCAGGTGATCTAAGTAGTTGTAAAGATTTAATGTTCCTGCTGATCCCATTAAGAACCAGCAGAACCTCTGATGGTCCACATCAGCTCAGTTTGGTTGAGTTCCAGCAGATCTCACCAACCACATCATGAAGCTTTCCTTCCCTGCTGAACTGCTCTCACAATGCACACAGGAACCAAGTCCTGATGGACCAGAATGGCTTTACCAGGTATTTCCCAGTGGAAATGTGATCCACTGTTAGTCTGACATGGAGCCAGGAAGCAACAGAACATCATCATCAACATCCAGAGATAAAGATATGAAGGTGTTTTCATGAGAACAGAGCAGCTGATTTCTGTAGATAATGGATCAAACCTCTGGAAATATAACTGGAACCATCTGAGTTCTTACTGGTTCAGTATCCAAAGTTACAGCAGTTAGATACAGCTCACCTCTCTGATGATGAAGATCCAGGAGATTTAAATTCAACCAAAGGATGATCCATTGACTCGTCACTCTTTAAGGAGACACAGCTGGGTTCTGGTTCTGGTTCTGGTTTGAATCTCTTATGGATCCTGAAAGAGATACTCTCATCAGAAACTTTCAAGATAATTTATTTGTGACTGAAAATCAAAATTAGAACCAGACAGATCATCAACCTGATGTCCTAAATGATTCCTAACAGAAGCATTTAGAACATGACGGACTCCAGAGACATTTAAAACCTGCTGCTAATTAAACACTACTAGAGTAGTCGACGTAAAGCTTTTTTTCTCTCAGGGTTTTGTTACAAACACAGGAAAACGCCAAGAAAACGCTGTTTCCTCCGCTGTTAAATCCAGCGTTTTAGTTGGATCTTTACATCGCAGAATAAATGGTAAAAGGAAAGGCGAAATATTTATTTAATTAACGTTGTCTTACTGATTATCTTTTGGGCTGTCTGACATTTGCCTTCTGTCAATTGCATCCTCTCTATCAGTTTATCTAATAATGCATCATCAATACCAAGAGTTTTGTTTGGAGGTCCAATCCTCCAACATGTTCCTGATCATTGATCCTCCTGAATAATGTCCAGCCTTCTTTAAAGAGCAGAAAGATTTATTTCTGAGACCAACATGTTGGTTTAAATGACTGAGAGAACAGTTTGGTGATCTTAGTGTTGAGCTCTGACATGGAGCAGAACCAGGAATCATTTCCACTCTGACCATCCAAGGAGGATCTGATGGAGCTTCAATCAGAACCAGATGGTCCATTAGAGACACTGAAGCCCACTGCTCAATCAGATCCACCAAATATTTAGTTTCACTGTAGAAATGGTTGATAATCTGCCATGTTGGATGATGTTTGAACTTCAGAGGTGGAATCATAAAAATAATTCATAGAAATTGTTTTATTTCAGAATGAATCTGTTTTGTCAGATTTTAGTAAAAAGATGCAAATATCAACCTAGAAATAAAATTCACTTCTGTCTATTTGTTCTTGTGTTAATATTAATATCAGACAAAATAAATGAGTGTTTCATTTGGAAAAATTAGGTTTAAACAAAACAGAATAAAACAGTTAAATGTTTCTGGTCCAACTGTCATGTCAACATAATAGTTTATAAGAGTGAGTCCTGACTGAGGATTTATAAGATTCTTTCTGTATGGAGTCAATAACTGTCCAATGAATGATGGTTAAATTGATGTCAGGTAAACATCAGATCAGATTTAGAGATTCTGTTAACTAGTGAAGCTCTGGGTAGAGACTGTGGATCCAAACGGACCTGTTTGATTTTTATACAAAGGATCCAGTTGAACTTTATTGTGTTCATAGTAACATGTTCATTATTGGAACATGTTTCCATGGAGACATCATACGCATTACATCTTTGACGTATGGAAAGAAAAATAACCTGAAATTCAGTCCAATGATTTCATGACAACAGAACCCAACAGAACTTATCATCACATGGCCACAATAACAGATATAAACAGAAGTTACAGCAGTTAGAAACAGCTCACCTCTCTGATGGTGGAGATCCAGGAGATTTAAAGTTAAACATGTCATCCTTTGACATGTCGCTCTTAAAGGACACACAGCTGGGTTCTGGTTCTGGTTCTGGTTTGCGTTTCTGATGGATCCTGACAGAAACGTGACGATTAAAACTTAATCAGCAAAGAGGAGCAGCAGCAGCTTCATCACCACGTCTGTTCTGGCCTGATATAGTGAACGCTGTGTGAAAAGGGCTGTGGACAGTTAGAGATGGTGACCTCACCTCTGACCTTTGCTCTGGCTCTCATCTTCCCCACACAGAGTGGTTTTAGAGGGAGGGACTCCCTCCTCTCTGTCCTCACACTGATCCATGCTGCTGAATCCACATCAGCTCACACACACTTTCTACCTTCACCTGCAGAGGAAACACATCATTCATCTGCACATCAACTCTGATCATCCTTTACATCATTAGTGCTGGAAAAAGATCAGCTGCTCCTCCTCTGATTGGCTCTTCTTCTCTGCTTCATATCAGTGTCAGGTGAATGCAGTCAGACAGCAGAGAGGCAGAGGAAGCTGCCATCAGCTGCTGCACTTCTACTATCAGTCCACTAGATGGAGACATGGAGCAACATTTACATTCACTGATTCAACCTGAACAAGTCTTGTAGTTCACAATTAGTATCTATACAAGTGGATTATTTGCTTAATTAAAGATTAAATATTTAATCATCTGACTGAATCAAACCCATTTTAATAATATTTTATTTTGAAAGGAAGCAACAGGAAACTGTTGCTGACATTAATGGTGGAGACTAGAGTTCATTACCAGGAAATAAAACATGAATCAGTTTGGAGAAGAAAACAGTGAAACATCAGCTGTTCATCATGTTGATTGATTCCAGTTCATCAATAATCTAATAATCCTGTAGATTAGCCTTAAAACAGCAGATATTAAAGTTTCAGCTGAAATCAGAAGTGAAACTTTTCTCCAAACATCAGAGATTAGAAACAATCAGGAAAAAGTTAAAGTGATGAAAACATTCAAGAAATAAACAAATCAAACTTACAGTTATTTCAAACATTCCAAAGAGTTAAAGAAGAAAATTTAAACAACAAACTGAGACACGACGAACAGACTGGAGCCACACCTGAACAGGTAAATTCAAACAGAATGTAAATGTGACGGATTTACATAACTGATGACGTCACAACTCACCTGGTTGGTAGTTTCTTCTTTCAGAGCAGCAGAAGGTTTGCTGTAACATCAGAGGCAGGTTGATGAATCTTCATGAGACAGGAGAGAAGTTCTGATGAAAATGTTTCATGATGGAGTCATGAGGAGAAAAGAGTCCAGAGAAAAGAGCAGCTGGTTGATTCCTGCTGCAGTAACAGGTCAGAATATAATGCAAACAGGAAATAATCAGAAAAACTAAACTATAATCCTTAACATCACCACTACTGCAGCTGAAACCACACATTGTTCTAATGCAGATTATTCCTAAAGCTCCTATATAATCATTGATCATGATGTTAGTGTGGTGAGCAGAGTGAGGACAGTCTCTGGTTAAAACCAGGATCAGCTGAGGAGGTTCTGCTGATCCAGGTTGAAACCCTGATTTCATTTCAATCATCAACCTGAATTTAAAGTCAGAGTCAGATCAAGCAGCAGAGAGGTGGCAGCTTGTTTCAGACTCATTATTTACACATGCAGCTGTTTTCCAGCTGTTCTCCTCCACAGCTGGAGGAAGGGGGGATGTTTGGAGGAGAGAACCTGAACATTCAACCTCCAGGTTTTACAGCTGGATTCTGACCTCAGCAGCTGGAACAACGACACAGATGAAACCAGTGACTCCTGGAAAATGGGATGTTTGGTGGAGAGAACCTGAACACTGATTCAACCTGAAATACAGGAAGGATTTTGGTTAGTTTATTATTAATCTCTACAAGTGTATTAAATGTGCCACTAAAGATGAACTATGTAGTAATTTGACTGGATTGAACACAGTTTACTGTAACAGCATTTAATTCTGAAAGGAAGTGAGACAAAGTTGTTGTGTCTGACTTTAATGGTGGAGACCAGAGTTTGATACAAGGAAAGAAAAAAACATCAGATGTTCATCATGTTTGATTTTAGTTCATCAATAATCCTATAGATTAACCTTCAAACAGCAGAGATTAAAGTTTGGTTACTGGAAATTAAAAGCAATTAATGATTAGGTTTATAAATCAGTCCACCAATTAAATTTTGTCATGAGGGTCTATATGGTCTCTCTGTAAGAAAATCCCTGATTCATTCACATTAAGGAGAATAAAACATATCTTCACCGTATTGGGGCATTAATGTAGCATCTAAACACAGACATTGTGGAGATGAGCTGCAGAACAGGAATCTGAAGAAAATCAGCTCCAGCTCTGGTCCTTATGGACCTGTCCTGATGAAATCCCCCCGGTTCCGTCTCCGCGCTGCTCTCTGGATTAATGGACTTTCAGTCCACTTCAGGTTCACTGTTTTATAAAACAAATTGTTTTAATCTACACAAATCATCAGAAACATCTTACAGACAGCTGACTGACCTTAAAGTGACCAAGACTGACCACAAACAGCGACTTGTCTAGATAACCATGTCAACAATAAACAAACTGCAAAAATCACCTGTTACAGGTTTCTCATTTCCTCTCCCTCTTTAGAAAAACAACATATAAAATGTGAAAAGCCCTGCGTCTGTCCATATTGTTGGTTGAGGATTTAAGATATAACTCAGTTTTTCATGACAGGATTTCTGCTTTTTGGGCTCGTCAGTTCTCTGGTATATCATACAATTCAGAAAACATTGGCAGCTGTTCTGCCCATTGACATGCTGCCTGTCTCATATAAGGAAATGCCTTGCTGTGAATAATCAGACTCAGATGCTGTGTGAGCAGAACCACAAACAAGAACTGGTTCTTACTGAGAGGAACAGTTCAGTTGCAGTTCCTGAAACCTCAGGAATAAACCTTGGAGAATTTGCAAGATCTATCTGAACTTTTTTCAGTCTACACTTTGTATTCTTGCCATTAACAGTAATTTGAACTATTTCTATAATAAAATTGCCCCTCCCTCTGCTTTTTGGACAGCTGGCTAACCGATCATAAGTTTGTCTGACTGGAGTTGGCATTGAGGTGTAATAGTGAGAACAATTATTGTCATCTGAGTCTGGCTCCCCACTGAGATGCTAGCGTCGCCGGCTCCCCTTCCTCATCCCCCACAGAGCAACCCAGGTTGCTGCAACGCACCAGGTTGCTGCAATGCACCAGGTTGCTGCAATGCACCAGGTTGCTGCAATAAACCAGGTTGCTGCAATGCACCAGGTTGCTGCGTTGCTCACCTCATTTCTCCATCATTTCTCCCTCTCTCTTACCACATGTCCTGTTTTTTATATTGTCAACATGTTGCTTTTCATATCTAGAGGTTTTTTACAACCTCACTGTGTAATTAGACAAAGTTAGAACATCAGTCTTCAGAAACAAACTGTAACATAAATCTTTTTAAGCCTGATAATAGTATTTTCTACCATCATAATGTTAAAAATAATAATAGTACATGACTGAATATCAACATGAATTTGCAGCATTTTATTTCAGGAAGGGAAAAAACCAAAACATGCAGACAAGATGGTGAATCACTGATAAACACTTTGGTTTCTGATGGGTTTGGGGAACCAGGCTGAACTAAGAACAGCAATTTATCCTCTGCCAGGTTATTGGCAGAGGATAAATTGTCACATATGTGGATAATTGGATAAATGTAACATATGTGTTATTGCTTTTGAGAAACCAAATCAAGGTGTAATTAAGTCAGAATATCTGATAAATCATGGTTTAATCTTCTATCTTTTTTGGTTAAACAACTCAAAGTTTGAATCCAGGAAATAGAAACATGAAGTAATTTGTTCAGAGAAAAACCAAAGAAACATCAGCTGTTCATCACTAATCTAATAATCCTGAAGATTAAACTTTAAAAGGAAGAGAGATGAAACTTTGACCAGAATCAGAAGTGGATGTTTTCTAAAAACATGAGAGAGAAAAAACAAACAAGTAAATCAAAGTTCAATTAGGAAAAAACAAGAAAACTTACAGTTTGATCAAATGATCCAAAGAGTTGATGAAGAATATATGAACAACAGTCTGACTCTAAAACTGAAAGTAAATGTGAGGGATGTGGTGGGACTGATGACATCACAACTCACATGATTTTTAGTTTCTTCTTTCAGAGCAGCAGAAAATCTGCAGTGAAATTAGAGACGTGTTGATAAAACCTTCATGAGGAAAAGAGAAGTTCTGATGAAAATGTTTCATGATGGAATCATGAGGAGAAAAAAGTCCAGAGAAAAATAACAGCTGATTCCTGCAGCAGTAACTGAACTGACTATAAATACAAACTGAAAATAATCATAAAGATCCAACAAAATAATCAGTAGTTCCTGATATCACCAAACTACTGCAGCTGAAATAACATTATTATAATACAGATTATTACTATAGCTCATATAAACTGTCTCCAATATATATTTATATAATTATTCTCTTATTTCTGAATTATGATTCATTTCACATTCCTGGGTAAAAGTTACTCAAAACATCAAAATGTACAAATAATATGAATTATAATTTACTAGAAGTTACCTGTGGAAAACCACAAGGGTCAGAACTGGATCCTAAACTTTATTACTTTACATAAATGATTTATGCAAGGAATCTAATTTGTTAACATTTACTTTATTTGCTGATTCATTATTTTGATCTGGTCAGTTTGGAGCAGCAACAGTTTAATGGAAGGAGAATTACAAATATTAATGATGTGACAAAAATAGATTAACACTAAATTATGGAAACATTTTAATATTTAGTAACAAGAAAATAAATAAATGAAAGTGCAAACTTTAAAATGTTCTGATTTAGTAGAGATCAGAACAACATTGATTAATTACAAAGTCTATAATAAACTTTCATGGTGTAAAGAAACATTGTTAGAAATGAAAGAAACTATAAACTAATAGAAAATGATTTATTTAGGATGAATATTAAAACAATTGTAGTTCAGTTAGAGGGATTTCTAGTTTGCAATAATTTTTCTCTCTTTAAAATATTTGCTAAACAAATAAAATCAGGTTTATGATGTTTTTTTAGTTTCTCTACAAACTTAGCTGAAAATCCTTGAAGATGTTTTAGAAAAATAAACAGGAAATATTTTGCTGCTTTGATTTGGATGATTTATGTAGAAAAGAGTGAAAGTTTGAAAAGTTTGTTTTTCTGTCTGAACTTTTTTCAGTCTACACTTTGTATTCTTGCCATTAACAGTAATTTGAACTATTTCTATAATAAAATTGCCCCTCCCTCTGCTTTTTGGACAGCTGGCTAAAAACCCTTGATCCACCGACTCTCTTTTTAATTTCTGCTGCTCCAAGTTGTTAAGATGAGTCTCTTGCAATAGAGATATTGAACTTTTAAGCCATTTTAATTCAGCTAATATTTTCTTCCTTTTTATCGGATGACCCAGTCCTCTCACATGATAACACACAATATTTAAATCACTCATAATATATAGTAGTTTTAATCATGTCAACCTCGACCTCTACTTTTTGACCCTTTGACCTTAATTCTGGATGTTGCATCTGATCTGTTTCTGCCTCCTGTTGGTCACTCAGTGTGGCCACAAACATGTCAAGGAACAAGAACATAGTAACACAGAAATAGTTTGAACACATGAAGCCCCAAGGACTCCCATAAACCCGCCTGGTTCTATTAAGACCACATATAATCTGTGGTGGCCTCCTGACCAGCCCCCGATGTAACCAAGGCAGAGCGCCGTGTGCCCGTAGTCGCTCTGGGGAAAAAGCACTAAGTGCTTCCAGATCACAAAGAACAGCAATAATTCCCTGCTGAGATCTCCACCCAATTGGGATAACGATAGTAACCAGGTGATATTGGCGACCCGTGAGATCAGAAACATTTGAAATGCAGATTCACTATACAGTATATTTTATATAGCCTATGGTGTCTTTTGAGTAATATTCACTAACTATGTGTCCTGTCTCTCTTGCAGACTCCTGAAAAAAAAAGAAAAACTTTCCGACTTCTTCTATTTTTGTCCGCCCACTCTCTCATTTAAACATAATAAAACTAAATATTAATTTCGGAGATACTCACAATTGAATTTATTTATTTTTTTATGCTGCTGGTCCAGCTTTTAACTAAGTCTTCAAACAGTGCAGCATTGCAGCATGGCCTTTGTCAGAAAAAAAAACAAAAAACAAGTTTCTGTTGTGTGAAGGCCATTGTAATGCATTGTGTGTGGTTGGAAATGTTATGTTTGGTGATCCTTAAAGCATGGCCTTTCCAGAGTCCAGCACCAGTGAATCCATTCAGCTGTATTATGACTCTCCCTGTAATGCAGCTGCAATGACACTCTCTTTGAAAGCACTTTCAAAATGCGAAAACAAATAAAATAAAAAAAACTTTCAGAGTACTTGCTAATAAACCAAAACAGTTTGGTAAAGCAGAATAATTTTGAATATTTATCCTTTCCATTCAGGTTTTCTTTAGCTAAACAGCTGAAAAAGCTTCATCTTGGAACCTGACTTGTGAGAAGCTAGCAGATCTCAATGCAGCATGATCTGTGTAAGGCATGAACCGTCGGTCCTCATGCAGCTCTATTGAGACAGATAAAGAACGACATTACATAACAGAGTGTCTTGCAAAGCTATTCATGACCCTTGAATCTTTTCAAATGTTAACACACCATCAGTAACAATAGGATCAAGCTTGTACAGATGACTTGAC